CACTAGAGCACTCTGCAAGATGTACAGCATTCTACTTACTTAGGGATCTCTGGTGGCTTACGTTATTGAATTTCAAGAAATAGTTCTTTTTAGGCCAAATTTATGTAACACACCTTTAGGCTATTATTTGCAACAGGAAAGATATAAAAATAAATTTAACTGGCATCATAAATAATTTATCAACTTTTTAATTTCTGAAAACTAGTTAAAAATTGAGTTATAAACACTTAAAAACCCCAAAATACAAAAATATCAGTATGTTGTATGTGCTGCTGAGCTGGAAATGGCCTGCAGTCTTCCTGCAGCTGGAACCCACCAGCTGGTTTTCTGAGCTTATCGGTGAAATGAGAGGAGACTGCTTATCTTTCCCCCTGCAGTGCTGCTCATAGATTAGAACTTCGAGTCTTGGGTTGGCAGTGCAACTTCTTACTTACTAGGCCACCAGATCTGCCTATATATTGTTACTGTAGTAAATGTGATTTTTATTTCTTAAAGTCAGAACAAAGTAACATTGGACTCTCTGTGTGAGAGAAAGCAGATGTCCCCAAGGTAGAAAAAGAGAAGGAAAAAATGACTAAAATGATACACCTTAACGTATTTAACTGTACCTGATAAGACTTATGACCAAAAAAATCACAGGAAAGGAAAACAAAGGTTTTACAATGATCTTGAGACAGAAATAAATGATTGTCTCCATAATCCAAGATTATATTCATATATAAAGAATAAGATTATTTCTGATTAAGAACAGTAAAAAAAATAAAAAGTCAATTAGAAACAGCAGTACACCTTTACTTTAAGAAAAAAACTAACATAGCATACTGTCTCTGCATGTAGTTAACAGTGGAGTCCCTCAGTGGTGTAAATGGTTAACAAAACCAGCTGTTAACTTAAAGACTGGAGGTTGAGTCCACTCAAAGGTACCTTGAAAGAAAGGCCTGTAATATATTTTAAAGACAAAAAAACTCAGCCACTGACACTTCTACAGACCACAGTTCTAGTCTGACACACATTGGGTCAGCATGATTTGGAATCCACTTGAGAGCAGTCAGCTCCAAAATAGTTTTATCTCTAGGACAGAAAAAGAATTAGCCAATGATTACAATCATCATAATTTGAGACTATAGGAAATAAACTAATGTACTTCAAACAGGTACTACCAGATTCTTATTTCATATAACAACAGTAACGTTATTTTGGGGAAAAAAGTAAGAGAAAAAGGCACCTTCTCACAGATATTTTCTAAACTCTAGTATAGACTTGTTATTATGTGCCATCGAGTCGCTTGTGATTCATAGCGAGCCTATGTACAAGAGCTCTAAATGCTATTCTATCCTGTGCCAACCTAGCCATCTCAAACGCACTTATTCCCACCGCTCCAGTCACAGAATCGATACATCTCACCAAAGGTCTTCCTCTCCTTCGCCTCCCCTCCACTCTGCCAAACATGATGTCCCTTTCCAAGGACCAGTCCCTCCTTGCAACATGCCCAAAATATGTCAGATGAAGCTTCAGAATCCTTGACTCCAGGGAACACTCTGGTTTCAGTACCAAATTACTTTTGAAGACAAAGACTTTATGGAACTATGGACTATCTTGTTTAACCTCTGAGCTGAAAAGCTACTAATACTGCCATTATAGGAAGCAGCATAAAGTTTGTTACAAATATTTAAATAAGATAATTGAAACATTCACAGGCATATTCATATCTAAGTAATGTTTCTGAGGATACAAATGCACATCTTAAAAGATGACATAAGATTCCATGTGATATAGTATGAACTGCTGGAGATTCATTCATTCAGTAGATGAAAACATGGAAGACAAACCTGGTAAAATAACTGGTAAGCAAAAAAATAAAGAAACTGAACCTTTAGACTAATTTTTCACTGTTAAATGTCTATTGTATCATTAGGTTAGAGGTGTAAAAGGATAAATAAATGATGAAAACATCCAATGATAGTATTTCATGTAACCAAATACTTAAGAGTTAACTATTCTACCATCAGACACAAATGTCTTATTTTGTTATATATAAAAAGATACCTATTGATTTTCCCATGAAAGCATTTCAGTGACACACTTTAATTATAAAATATCTGATAGAAGAATATTTATCATTTTTATTTGAAGAAGTTAATTTTATCAGGATTAATTTTGGAAATAAAGTAGAACTTTTTAGAAATATGATCTAGAGTTTTAATTGTAATAAAATATCGATGCTAAAACTCTGAGACGGTTAGTAGTTTTACTTGGTTATGAAACTAATGATTGATTCACACTGAAAGGTAGCTCTCAATCTTCAAAGCAGGAAACTTGATATCAACAATATTCTGATTCCCATTAGCCAAATAATTCATATCATATATATTGTACATCATTTTACTTCATGAATATTTGAATATGGGAGGAACAGCTGCTTGCCATTACTGAACTAAAACATTTTGGTTGGTTGAAATTAATGATCTCCACCATCTGGTTTGAAACACAAAGCCATATTTCATAACTACTGTAAAGCTCAGTTAGGAAGAAATCTATTTAATTTTTAGAATATAGCAGCAATTTTCCATGATTCAAGTACCTAGATCTAATATAAAAACATATTTCCAACTAGTTTAAAAATAATAGTGTTTATGGGGAATAATTGTACAATCCATAATTATAAAAGCACACATAGTAAGGGAAAGCATAAGGTGAGCATTAGAAATATATGATAATTAATTTAATGCCTTCTACATAAAAATGGCTATAGGTTTAAGAAAAATCTTTTCCTTCCTTCTCTCAATTAAGTCATTTCAATAATGTTAATATTAGCAATAGTGGAGCACAGTAAAAGTAAGAATATGCAAAAATTTATGTCAACCTCATCCCCAGAAAAAAGGTAGTATAACAGAATAAAGGAGGTATTATACATGTAAAAATTATACAAAAATTAAAGTGTATTTTTAAAATAGTGGCAGAGAAAGGGAAAAAACCTGGTGGTATAAAGTGTCTAAATTCTGTAATACTTATCAAGTACAGTTTAGTAATAAAATCATAACAAATTAAACTATTAATATTACATTAACAAGTATAACATAAATAAGTTATACATTTAATAAATGAAGATTACATTTTCAAATTGAAGTAAAAATTTTGGAGAGGTTATATTACGCTACATGTCCTAGAAAGTAATAAACTTTGAAGAGCAAATTCATTTCCTGGATATACCTTTTCTTTTTAAATTTTATTATTTTTTTGTGTGTACCATCAAATCAGATGTGACTGGTACAGGAGGAGATTGCTCCTCCTTCTCCAGCAGAGCATCTGGTGAATTCGTGGATTTACCTTTTTTTTAAAAAAGAGCACATCAAAGGCTAAATTGGAAAAATTATTGGTGAGTTAATAGGCATGCTTGGTATATATAAATGGTATATATGAAATTATCACCAGAAGACTATGTCCTAAAAGAAGTTCTTTTTTTTTTTTTTTTTTTGCTATGCATGTGTTTATTAAATGCTTATTACAAAAGCACAAGTTCTTGGCCTCATTTTAGGGCATCAGTGGAAAAGCTAATATACAAAAATCAAATCAGAGAAAAAGTCTGCTTTCAGTGAAAATCGACAGAAATTGGTAAGCTGAATCTTTAAAATAGAAATGAGCTCAGGACAAGAAAGAACGACAAGCCCCATTATTAGCAGTAAATAGGTAAAGACTACTCGCGAAGCAAACTCCTACGAATACTCAGCATGTTCACACACAATCACCGTTCAAATGGCAAACCTATTATTCAGAATTCAATGTGCGAGTCCAAAATCATCAGTGCAGACGGCAGAAAAACTAGGCTAAAATAACAAAAAGGCAGCTTGATTTAGCAAAGGGCCACCTAGTTTATAGACAAGCCCCCTGGGAAGTAAGGTCCGCTCAGCATCACAGGAGCAAAGCAGCAGTGTGTGCCCTCTATAGACGCCAGCTCGAGGCCCTCGCACTGAGAAATGAGGTAAGGAACACCCATCTTGAGGGGGAATCACCCCCTATCTGATCTGCCCTTTCATTTAGAGAACTTACCATCACACATCATGAAAAGCAAAATACTCGTTCTCCCGCATAAGCAATAAAAATTAGCTGAGATTTTAAATTTAATGTAAACTAGTTCACTTTTCTCCTTTTAATAATGCAGTTATTTCAAAGTTCAAATCCTTCTTCTATATATAGTCAGGTTTACAAAAGAATTTCAAAGGTCAAACGCAGAAGCTGTGATTTCTTATATCTTAGGACTCTAGTTGATTTCTTCAAGGGTTTAGACTTCAGAGCTGCTAATGACACTAAATTCTACGCCTCGATGGCTGAGTCTGTCAATCAACTTCGTTC